GTGGCTGCTGGTCACCAGGTAGGTGCAGGTGCTCTGCCACTTACAATAGGGCCAGGTCCCGATAGGCCCATCCCAGGCTGAGCGTAGCAGACATGGGAGAGGCACGCAGATGCATCACCTGGTGACACCACAGCTTGCCAGCACACTGAGCTGTCCACCGCGTCCCCTCAGGAACCTGGGTCTCAAGGGAGCTCCAGCATCAGGAGAGGATTGGACCACACACCCAGAGTCTGGAAAAGATGGAGGTTCACAATTCAAAGTGTGGCTTCTCTATCACTTTCAAATCACAATGAAGTAAAAACCTCTTGAGGTCCACCAGTTGCCCGTCAGGAGCACCAAGCTGCCGTGACTGCCTGCGAGGGTCCTGAGTCCTCACTTCATCTTTGTGCTATGCCCTCACTTTGCTGCTGATGAAGTGAAGGCTGTGAAGGTGACGTCACTCCCTGAATCACACAGATAGAAAGGGACAGTCCTGAAGCCCTGTCCCCACCTTGTGCCCTCTGTGCCGCTCTGACCCTCTCACTCACTGTCTCCCCGCCTAACCCTTGTCCTAACATTTGCGGATTTCTTAAAGGTGAAAACCCTGACTCCTGGTCATGGGCATTTCCTGTGGTGTCCAGTCCAGGTTGGCTCGTGCCAAACTGTTTCTGAGTTGAACCTTTAAGCTCAAAGGATTCAGCAGGTGTTGCCAAGAAGGTGAACGGGTAGGAAGTGGCTCAGACTTGCCTTCCTTCCCTCTGTCCCCGTGCCTGCCCTGCACCTGGGAGGAAGTTTGGGCTGAGAATCCCCGCAGAAGCTTGATGGGAGTTGATGGGGGATGTTATGGGGAATCGGGGGTCAGAGGGGCTCACAAGTTCAGTTGTGATGAGGGACTTCAGGCTCCGTTGCAGTTGTTGAGGGGACTAGTTAAAACACTGGAACCTTCCAGGAGCCACCAAGCCATTCTAGGCATTGTTATCCATCCAAATACCACTGACCCTAGGCAGGTGGCCCTGTGCCGGCCATTAGTGCAGGGCTGCGGGGCACCCTGGGGCACACCACACCTCCACCTGCTTAATGCTGGGGGCCAAATCGTGCCCTCCACAACTGGCCTGTGAGACCTTTCCCCAGGGTGGCTGTATTGGAGTGGGGGTCCCTGGAGGTAAGGAAGGCCAAGTGAAGTCCTGAGGTAGCAGCCTCTCTGACAGGCTGTGGCCGTGGGAGTGCAGGAGGTGGAGGCCCCGAGGAGGGGCTCCTGATGGCCAGGAGGACCACACGTTGGGGGCGTCCACTGTTCCTGGGCCTCACACCTCCAGGTGGTCAGCCTGTGGCACTGTGTGGGGGTGGCATGAGCTCATCAGCACAGCCTGCACTGAATGCCTGGATCCAACAGGCTTCCTAGAAGACCCAGGAGGAGTCCATCCCAAGAACACACCCTAGGTGCTCTGGCACCCAGCAGCAGCTGACTTGGGAAGATGATCGGCTCTGACAGAACTAAGAGGTCGGTCAGTTCAGAGTGTTGCTGGGGGAGTTCCAGGGACAAGTTGAGCTGGCCCTGAATGAAAAAACAGCTTCTGGGCAGTTTCCCAGACCCTCCAGGAATGAGCTGCACAGAGAAGCTCTGTGTGCATACATATCTAAAGGTGTGTGCATGATATGTATGTGCGCGCGCGCGCGTGTGTGTGTGTGTGTACATATAGATACACATATGTGAATGTGTGTGTGCTTGCCAACTTTCTGTCTCTGGGACAAAATACATGAAGTCGGCCACGTAAAAGGACAGAGGGTTATTTCGGTTCATGGTTTCAGAGGTTCAACCCATGGTCCCTTGGCTAGGTTGCTTTGGGGGCTCTGGCGAGCCAACACGTCATGATGGAGGAAAGACACCCACCTCTGGCAGCCAGGAATCAGAGGGAGAGGAAGGGGCCACGGCCCCATATCACCCAACCACCAGACTTCCTTGCACAAAGCCAATCCTCCTAACGGTTCCACCACCTCCCACAGCACCCTTGGCTGGTCGCCAGGGGTTCAGCATGAAGACTTTGGGGACACTCAGAACTCAAACCATGAGTTTTACACACAGACACACATATAGAAAAGTGAATTTGCAGAACAAGGGTGCATCCGCACTCCAACAAATATGTAAACAACTCAGAAAACAAATCCACCCTCTGCTTTCTAAATAACTGTGCTTTTTAAAATCCACCTATTAGTGTGAATTGTTAAGAACAGACTGTTCTCATTAAAGTATACCATGCTAATTGCCTTTAGAACCTTTATAAGATATTATGTGGAAATAAAATGATTGCATATGAACTCAGTTCTGTTAAATGATATGCATAACTGGAAGGGACTTGAGCTAAATTAGCAGCTACCACTGGGTGATGCAATTATAAGTGACTTCTATTTTCTTCATTTTGCTTTACACTGTTTTTCAAGTACTCCCCAAATGTGTAGATTTTACAGTTATTTTTAAAAAGGGTTAAGATCTTTCTGGTCTATGAAACTCATCTGAATGGCATCTGAGCCACACGCTGTACCTACGCCAAGCACTATGAGGGTTTCTGTGTCATTAATCATGACCTGATGGGAGACATATTCATGAGCACTTGACGTGGCACTGTGCCCCGAAATGTGGCTGTCAAGGGCCTCACCACCGTGATGAAAGACACATATTTCCCCCAGAGTCTCCTTGCCTGTCCTTGAGACCCTGGATCTGACCTGGAACACTGGGGAGGGTTGGCAGGTGTTAAGGTGGGGACAGCAGAGGGCGGTGCTGCCCCTGAAGATGGGAGTGTTTATGACTGGAGTTCACATGCAGGGCTAGTTGGAGAATGGTGCAGGTCTCAGGAGGACCACATGCAAGTCGAGAGGGGCCAGGTGGACACTAGGGCCAATAAGCAGAGCCCCGGGCTGGAAGGAGGAGGCATAATCAACTCATGGGCTGGTGGCAGGGATGGCAAGGCCAGCAGGATTTTTCAAAGGAGCCATGGTCTGAGTGGACAGCTAGGAGTCAGGGTGCTGGGGACTAGCTCTGCATTGCCTCAGAATGCTGGTGATACCAGGCACTGTCCCTCTGTGCTGGATTCGTCCCAAAGTTCAGGACTCTGCCTGGCTCCCTCTCCTCAGCCTGTTTCCCACCAGCTCTGAGGCTTCTGAGTCTTCAGGGAGACGCTCACTGCCACTTTGTGTGGACTGCTTACTGCAGAGGGGGGTCATGCTGTGGGGCTGGCCCCAGGCTTCTGAGTCGGTGCCTGGACACCTCGCATGTCTGATGAGCAAGTCCTGCAAGGACGATGCTGGGACCAGGCCCCTGCCATCCTTCGGGGACCTGGTCTAGAGCAGCAGGGTTAGTTCACCCCAGCCCTCCGCCCCCCGGGGTCTTGCATCTGTGGTGAGGGCTGAGCTGCCCTGCCCCTGACCTCCTGCAGGAGTTGTCCCTCATGAGATGATCAGGTGTCGCAGGCTGGGTCCCCAGGGTGTTGGCTTTGATTTTAGACTGGAAAGTGTATTTTCTCCCGTGGTTCATCTCCATCCAGTCTTCCTTTACAGTGGGCTGTCTGAAGTGGACTTATTAATATTGATAATCTTGTTGATTAAATTTTAAAGCACACTGGCCGTTAGCAATTGCAGTCTGTGAAAGCACACACTTACTGTCAACACACAACAAAGAAAGACTTCATAACAGTCAGCGAGTGAGACAAAACTATTTTAATATATTGCTACATGTTACAAAACAGTCTCTGTCCAAACACAACTTACTTAATAGAATACTTTCAACAAGAGCATAACACACACAATACACTATTGCTTAAAGGGACCTTATTGCTACAGTGTTTGCTTATTTGGTTTTCTGTCTATGCAGCAATTGGACTCCAAAATCTGATAGAGATAAAATCGGGCCCATTTTTCAGATAATTCAGTGAAACGAGCTCAATCACCTTCAACTTGGGGGAAAAAAAAGGATACTGCCCTATGATATATCATCTAATAATAGAGATGGCTAGTGCCAAGTGGACACTGAACTTAAGCAATAATTGAAAGCACCACAAAACATTTGTACTTACACTTGAAGTAAGATATATAACTAAACTATGCTTTATTGTCTCAATAAAAAGCAACATTTTCCACAAAACTAACACTCATATTTAAAACGGAAAAAAAGCAAAACACTATGTGAGTTTAAATATTATTGCAGTGTTAAAAATTCCCATTTCTTCCTTTTAAGAAAAAGGGACATTTAAATATTTTAAACATCAATGCTTTACAAATCCTGACTAAATGAGAGGGTTAATAGCAGCTCAAACAGCTGGAAAATATACTTAAAATAGCTTATATCTCAAATGCACCTCTTGTTTTGCATCATATTTTCCTTAGAGGAAAGACAAGCAGTTTCCCTCAACTAGAAATAAATCTAATCCACTTCAGAAGATTTGGGCTTCAGTGAGACCTGCCTTCAGATCAGCTGGCTGAGCCCTGGCAGCACATCAGAGCATCTCAGGGCTTTCTCACACAGGGCCAAAGCACACTCATGCAAACGACAAATCCGTTTCATGTTCCAGCTGATTACATCATGGCAAGGGCTGCTTAGGTGCCATCAAAACCCCTGGGGAAAACGTTTCCTGATTAATTTTTTTTCTCTTGAAAAAGTAGAAAATACAAACAACTTATCTAATTTTGGATGGGACACACATCTTTCAGTTGAATTATATGACTTAAAAATTAAAATAGGAATATATTTTTTTAAGAAAAAAAATCACAAAACCAAACTTTTCAAAATCACCAAGCCCTGTAAAAGGCCCTGAGTTCCAGCCCCAGTGCTGCAAAAACAAAAACATACAATAAAAAAGGGAAAGACATAAAACAAAAAAGAAAAAAATTTACCAAGTCCTGAAAATTGATTATGAACAGGGAATTTCTATAAGTTTCCTAATGAAATGAGACACTAAAGTGCCCCCTAGTGAGGCCTTCTGGAATTGCAGTCTAATTGGCAAAAAAATTTTTTCTATGATTTTGCTTCCTTGAAACAATGATAGGAAATTATTTTATTCCAGGTAATGAGATACTATCTAAGTTACATAATGAAACCACATGATGTATTTATACAAGGAGAAAATGTTGATCAAGCGACATTATTTCCCATGCTTCCCTCTTAGAGCTAGAAAAGAAAGGAAGAGTTTTCTCTCCTACTGGCCTAGACTGTATCCTCTTTCCACTGACTCAAAGTTAACGGAGAAATGCTATAAGGTGCTGTGGCTTCACTTGCATAAACTGCAGGTGCACTTGGCGGGTTTTTACGGAACAGCCCACACTGTCAATTTTCAGAGCTTTGAAGACAAACATCTGGTCAAATGAAAAGTCACGTTTTCACTTGACACTCCCATGCCCTGAAAAGTAGGTGGTCACAGCAATTGAAGTACCATTCTTGTTCCATATCAGGGAACGTGGAGTCTTCTGGTTGTGCCAAGGGTCTTTGAAGAAGAATCTGTGTAGCACAGACAGCACGGGCACCAGAAGTCCCTGCGCTCAAGGAGCAGGTGAGATAGATGAGTTTCCTTCATTGTTCTTTAAAATGTCTGTGGACCATTTCTATAATTCTAAATAAAATTTCCAAGATTTCAGTGATATAAAGACAGAAAATGAAGGAGCTTTACAATAAGCAGAAGTAACTGGAGGCAGTATTTGATAATATTTCTAAGGTGAAAAGTGACGTTTCAATCAATATTTAGCAGGAAATAACTGATGATCAAATAAAAGAAAGACAAAAATGAAGACAGAAACGAAACTGGAAAAAAATAGCTTTGAAATAAAAACACAGCAGTCACGGGAAATTTTGCTGAAAATACCAAACCCATTGGAATTATGGATTGCCCCCCCGCCCAGGTATCCTTGTAGCTTATTTCTCACAAAGGCAACTTTGAACTGGATTATTGTGCTCTTGTTCACAGTCGGCTTAGAACCTTTTAAATAACAATACAGCACTAAGCCAACTAACTGAAGTGTGGACTTTAGTTACGCAGGTGATTTATATGTTCAGTGCCCACAGGCAATTCAATGTGATGCGCAGGTTTCTGGCCACTGAGACAGACCAGTGTGCAGGTCCTGCAGACCACGGCAGCCACACGTGGGGCTGGCCTCCAGTGGGTTGGCCCTTGCTCTGCTGACAGCGTCACCAGTCCAGTTTCAGGTCAGCCTTGCTCCAGACGTACTTTCCTCCTCGCTTCAGAAACATACGTTCATCAAACCCGCTGAATTTTATAGCTTCTTCCACTCCAACGTCCAGGATAGACATGGAAGGATCCTTCCGGCCACTTCTGCAGTTCAGAAAGCGCATCTAGGAAATTCAAGAAAGAAATCAGTCTATTTCCATACAGTTTATGCTGTAAAACCCATTTTAAGGTATCAATGCAAAATATTTTTTTAATATTCCAATCATATCAATAAATGATCACTGAGAACTGTGGCCAGAAACTGAGCTCTCTAAGCTTCCCCCCACCCCCACTCATGTAACTCAGGCACTGAGGAAGAGGTGAGGTCCGCTGAGAGCCTCAGGCGCAGGATGACGGCTCACTACCATGGCCGCCAGCAGAGGCGACATGCTGATCTGGAGAGACTTCTCCCCAGTGTCTGAAGGGAAAGATCCCGTGAAGGCTTGGGGGCTTGGGGAGCACTGTTGTGGGAAACTGTAGGTGATGGCATTGCTAGTGAGACAAGCACACAGCCATGTCACTCTGCGTCCCAAAAGAATTCTTTCAAGAGTGGGAGAAAGAGTGGTAAGAAAGCAGACGCTGAGGCAGGCAAGCACCAGACCAGCAGAGCCACATGGGCCGGCCTCGTTCTTTGCTTTCATCCTGTCTGTCTTATTTTAATTACTTCAGCCTCTTTTCCCTACTTCTTGTGCAAGAATGAGGTCTTGAGGTTTCGTGTGACCTACACTGAGAATTTTGTAGAGGATCGAATCATATGTGTTGAATCAGAAAGTTGTTAAATTGGCAAAAGCAAATTTTGGATCAAGTACGTTTGATCCAATTCTGTGGAGACCAGACAGGTTGTTGCAGAACGTTGGTCAAAGCCCCCGGGGCCCATCATGGCCACTTGCATTCCCCAAATAAATGGTTTCACTTTCCTCTTTACCTTGGACTTGTTAACTGAACATTTCTACTATTACTCTTTCCCTTATGTCCCACAAAGAAAGCTCATGTTGATAATAAGTGAAATTGCTATAAAGCAACACGGATGAACTTGAAACTAATGAAATATAAAAGTTATCTTAAATATCCCTCAAAGAAAATCCAGTTTAAATATTGAACCCATGGTTCTTGTTTGAGCTCATTTCTTCTGAAAAACGTATCTTTGAATGGAATTATTTGTCTTTTGTTAGACATATTGACAAACGTTATAAATCTGGACCAAAAAAATAAAAAAAGACAAAGGAAAAGAAAGTGGATTCTTTTCCACTTGTGAGAGGGTAGGTTTTGCCTTTCCTTAGGAAGATGATGAGGGAAGAGGATATGAGTGGTGCTTAGAAAGGAAAGGAAGGGCAAGGCCCCTCTGCCATTGCCAAGGTTAATCAGCAGGGAGTGAGCTGCCTATCAAAGGAGAATGCAGCCCAGGGCCTTTTCACGTGCTGGGGGTCCTTGTGAGGTCCACGGACACCAGGCCAGGCAGGAGCCACACCATATGGCAGCTAGTGCCAATCCAGGGACCTGGGCCCAAGCCAGTGCCTGCAGAGGTGCTGGGCGCATATGGCAAAGGGACCCCCAGCTGTATCATCTTAATGACCCTAACTGGCCCAAAACCTGTGACAGGCCATGAAGACGGACAAACGGGTCCTATATGATGGCATTCGGCTCAGAGCTGGACTTGCTGCTTAACTAGCTTTTCAGTGATAATTTCATAACTCAAGAGAAATACTCACGTATTCATCCAGGATAAGGTAGGAGTCTTTCATCTGCAAAGAAGAAATTGCATACAAATTTAGTCCTAAGCATATTTTTCAGTGTGTATTTTCAACTGTCTATAATAAAATGTGCATTTGGGTTTTCTAATTCTGGGTTCAGTATTTCTTATCTCATTTGAGTGGCTTTTGGTGTGACCCTCATAAGGGGAGGGACTGTGTGTGTCCCTTCAGAGCCCAACAGGTTCAGCAGGCCTGGATGATCTGCATCAAACGGAAAGGTCAAGAGAAGGAACCACACCACTCCACATTCCCTGACAGTGGCCCCCAGTGTTCCCTCGACTGTGGACCCTCTTTCTGATGTACCAAGCAGAGCACTCTTCAATGCTAGCCTGGGACTACAGGGTGGCTTCTCCCATTGATTCTGCCACGCTAAGCTGACTGACAGTAGTGGTGCATTGTGTGCGCAGAGGGATTCCTGAGCTAACAGCAGGTAGACAGACCTTCTGCCCTCACCAACGGGACACCTAAGGCGAATGTCCCAGCCGACTCACATGGGGGAAAGAAAACCTGGGTGGGGAGCCTTTGGGGAGTTGAGATGCGCAGGTGGGTGAAGAGCTCTTCATACAAGGATGGAGACCGAGAACAGTGCCATCTTTCATTGCTTTCCTTATTTTCTTCGCCCTCACACTATGTAATTAAGATGGAGGGGGAAGATCCCGTAAAAGAGACCCTGCGAGAGGGTTCCCTCCACTTCCTCACTGCTCCCTGAAGCCTGCCCTGCTCTCTCTCCATTTGGGGATTTTCTCACTCGTGCTTAGTTCAATATCACCTTTAAACTCCAGCCATCCATCAAGACCTCCAGAAGCCAAAGCATAAGGAATAAATTTCTGTCCGTGGAATTCCTAACATTATGCGAGCATCCGGGGGAGAGATTTTCTGTGTGTGTATTTTGGGGTGGCAGATGGGAGAACCTGTTTTAAAAATACTTCCTCAAATAACAAATCTTATCTTTTACAAATTGGAAGATCCAAAAAGTTATAAAATCAACCAAATTATTGGAATTTGCACTACTCTGGGGGATACGTATGGATATGTTTTTTTTGCATATCAGCATTGAGTTTCAGATTGATTTTGCATGTTGGTTTTCAAATTTACTGATATCATGTGATGAGACCTTATCCTGGTAACATAACACTCTTAAATATGCTTTATTCAGTAGACATTTCACTATGCTAACGTACTAATGCACCTGTTCCTGCCCTACGGCGAAGCAAAGCTACCTTCAGTTTATTTCTATTGTTCTTAATGCTGCAGCAACAAACCTTTATATAAATATTTCTTTGCATCTTTATATAAAGATTTCTTGTGTTTTGAAGTAGAATTTAAGAATCAATATATAAGAACACTTCAAAGATTATCATAATAAATTATCAGTTCATTGTCTAGGAAATCCTTAGAAATCCTAGGCATTGTCCTTCTACTAACCACATGAATCACCTCTTACTGCATCTTCGCATTTCATATTTAAATTTCCATTTTTTTGAATACTGATAATATCAGAGACTGTTAAAGTGTTCATTCACTCTTTGATTTTCCTTTGTAAATCATCTGTTTGTGCCCATTACCTGATTAACTTTCTCTGTTAGCAGGTTCTTATTGATTTAAAGAACTTTTTATATAATACTTTATTTTATATAATTTGGTGTCATTACAAAAAAATGATGGTAGCATATTTTACTTTTAATTTTTATGATGTATGTAGCTTATAATTTTAACTTTAATGTACTCAAATTTGGCGTTCATAATTGCTTAAAAATGTTCATAACTTGCATTAATAAGGCATTTCCTCCACTGTGGCAGGAAGAACGGGAATCATTTTTCTTTAGATTTTGAGAGTGCATTCATCAGTGACTGCCTCTGGTAATTCCTGAAGTCCCAGCAGAGACATGCTTTGGCCAACCCTGCTTAGTCTATGAGTGGAATCTGTCCTTTTAGGATGCATTCAATTGTGCTTACACTAGACAACTAAAGAAGTGGCAAACCGTTTCTTCTACATTCTACCCAACTTCTAAAGTTTTGCCTAGAAACAGTTCAAGTGAATCATGTGATGATGTTCATAGCAAGAGAATGACATTCAAGAGCTCCCTCCTTCTTTCACAGAAGTAGAAATGCTAAGTTTATAGCAGCATGGGTTGAGATGGCACAGTGGTGATACATGAAGTCACATCACCTCTGGGTGGCACTCTGCCTTCCCGGAGGGAGACCCTGAAGCCCACTGAAAGCCCACAGTCAGCAGGTAGCCAGGGTGGACCTGTGCTTTTCTGGCTTGGGACTCACTCCTCCCTCTCTCTGTGCTGAATCCTCTGAAACCACAATCTGTCCACATGCAAGCCCTTGGCCAGGATTCCCTACTCTGGAATCAATCTGAAGGCAAGCAGGAAAGCCCAGTGAGCTGTATACAACCTTCTGGTTGGACTCGGGCACCAAGCAGGACACTCCTTTGTGACGCTCTAAGAATTCTTCAAACTCTTCGTCGCTAATGACGAATCTTTGTGCTTCTCTCAGGGCATCGTCTCCACAGTTCTCGCCCTCAATCAGGAGGCACTGGAACACCTGAAGGGAGGAGAACCTGTGGGGCAAGGGCCGTCATCCCGCTGGCCCCAGCCCCACCCCTGTCCAAACTCCAGCTCCCAGGCCCGGCCCTCGGAGCTCAGCAGTCCTGGGGAGACCTCACGCTGGGAAAGGAGAGCAGCCCTGGAATTCAGGAATATGATGTTAGAAGCACAAACATTCTTCAAATAGAAATTCCTCAAACTGCCTAGAGTATGTTTGATCTAAGTTTATGATCCAATATTTTCAGACTACACAATCATCAATGTTTTTTGAAGAAAACAGGGACTATTAAAAAGCATAAAAAAATAACAACTGTCATCTTCAAGAGAAAACTATTTTAAAAATATTGTTGTTTTGCTGATTTTTAATATATCCTAAGTACTTTTAAACCAGGCTTGCTTTACACTTAATACATAAGGACAAATTTTTGAAGTCATTAATACAGTTTTTCCTTCTTCTTTTAAGTAAATAAGTGTGTACATGACTGTGTGTGTGCATAGGTGTTTTTGTGAGTTTGTATGTGTGACCGTGTGTCCAAGTGTGTGTGTTAGTGTGTGTGCTGACTGTGTGAGTGTGCGAGTGTGTGTGAGTTGAGTGTGCACACTGCATTACCCCACCCTGAGCAGTCCTGTCATTTGAGCAGGGAGGTCCCAGGGAAGGCAAGCAACCAGGCAAGGTGTCCCAGGTGGCACAGGGTGACAGAGCTGAAGCAGAACCCGGGGCTAACAGGCATTTGTGGAACAGGTTTCTCTACATGGAATTAATCAATAGCATCTGAATTAATTTGAGGCTGTTTTAGTCAGTTAGGGCTAATATCATAAAGCTCTAAAGACGGCCTCTCGGGCTGGGGACATGGCTCAGTCGGTCGCGGGCTGGCCTAGCATGCGCAAGGCCCTGGGTTCAACCCCCAGAAGAAGATGGCCTCTCGCTCTGCGTCCTCCCTCTGGCACACGGTTGCTGAGGGCTGCCGCGCCCATGGCCTCGTGGGAAGAGGGCACCCCAGGAAACCAGGGAGCAAAGGGACCAAGCAGGGGCGTCAGCTTCCATCTGCCAACAGCCTTTGAAGATCAGCCTCTCAGTGAGCACAGTTTTCTGGAAGGGGGGGGGGGGAAGCTCCGCCCTCGCCCTCTGAAAGTCAGGTCTTCAAGGGCAAGAAGTGCCCTTGTAGTGGTCAAAAGAGTGGAGTAAAAGTCTGGGAGATAAGAGGAGCCCAAGCAGTGGGGGAAGTCATATGAGAACAATGAGATGGCAGGAGAAGAGAGGAGGGACCAGGACAGAGGGACAGGACAGCCAGCTCCAGGAGGAGCTCTTAGCCTTGGAGGGCAGCCCCCCGGCTGATGCCTCGGCCTCCCTCCTCCTCACAGTCCCCACTTGTCCTACCCACTGTCTTCCTTTAGCTTTCTCTCACTCCTTCTAGACTGGGGTGCATCGGCCTACTTACGTACTTCACCAAAAGTTCAAGTTCAATGTCGCTATTTACAATTTCTTAAATAGATTTTCTAAAAAAAAAGTATACTTAAAAAAAAAAAAGCTTATACTTGCTTTGTTTGCATACGGAAATGGATCAGGGGAAGATTAAAACTTGAATTTTTAAGTTTTAAGTTTTTAAGTAGCCAATTGCCAGTGTCTGCATGCTGCCAGGGCTCTCTGTGCTAAGCGGGCTTGCGCGTGTGAGCCGCAGGCTCTGAGGTGGGACTAGTCCCAAAGCACAAGTCTTGGGATAAAGGCCTGGTGTTGCTCCCGGTGGGGAAGCCTTGACTTCTAATGCCTTCCGATAACTCAGTGCACACTCAGTGGCATCCGGCTCTGCGGAGAGCATTGCTCCCTGTCAGTCAACTCTGGGTTTTCCAGAGACACACCCCAGCACTGAGCGTGACCTTCATCCTCACGGTATCTCAGGAGAACACCATTCCTGGGTTCAGAGGGAGCGTGAAGCACAGCAAGCCGTGGCTGGGAGTCTAGGGAGCCGGGCGAGACCGAGGAGCGAGCTGGATGGCCTGGAGCTCTCCGGTGAGGCTCTTTCCAGCTTACGAGCCGAGCTCAGCCAGGAACAGCAGCAGCACTTACCTTCCAGCGAACAGGGTTCAGGGCTTTAATCTGCTCGTTCATGTCCTCATCCACGTTGAACCGGTTGATGACCGAGTTGATCTTGAAAGCCACTCTGTAATCCTTGCACCACTTCCTCAGCTTTTGAAGATTCTCCACGTGGTTCTTCTTTCCTTGGCCACGGCCAATAAGGACGTTGACTTCCTCGTCAAAGCTGTCACAGGAAATGGCGAGAATGTCCAAGTAGTCACCTGTGGTAAAATGGTCAGCTAAATTTTTCTGTCCAAGGAAAAGGCGTTCCGGGTCACATCAATCTCTTCATGATACAACATATTTTGTTTGCACCTGGGTTCTAACTTTTTATGTGATACTTTCCTCATACCTATGAAACTCGCTGAGATGTGAACCATACTGGTACTTGCATAGAGCATTCATTAAAAAACCACACATGTGCCTGGGTGCAGTGATGTACACCTATAATCCAAGCAACTTGGGGGGCCAAGGCAGGAGGATTACAAGTGCCAGGCCAGCCTCAGTAGCTTAGCAAGACACTTTTGCAAAATTAAAACAAGAAGCACTGGAGATATTGTGTCCCTGGGTTCAACCCCCGGTACCTCCCTATGCACAAAGTCTATACACATAATTAATGATGGATATACATATTTGATCATTCTAAAACCCTACTCCCCTACTTGCATGAGCTCCAATTAGTATGCTTAAGATTTTTCATTTATTTCTTTATAGAAATCATATAATTTATGAAGCAAGCAGATAGATATTTTGGACGCTTCCACACTTAGCTATGAGAATTATAGATTTGCTTTTCTTTTTCTACCACACAAATACAATTGCTTTGAATAAGAGGGAGCATGAAGCACAGCAGTTTTTTGGCCAAGTTCACCAGCTTCTTCCTGACGCATTTTGTACATTTGATTCACCATCTAAATATTCACAGCGACTCTGTGCGGTGTCAGGTACAACCACATGAGATGCTGATAAAGGGAGGCTGAAGTGAGGGTGTCGGGCCCCTCCCCGTCGAGCAGCTTATTGAGAGCTCAGATAGTGGGTCGTTCGGAACCCAAAACACGCTGAGTGTGATTCTGGCATGGAGCTCTCCTCCACTGGGTTCCATGACAGTCTTTTCTACCCTCTCGCTCTTCTGCCCCTGCCTCTGCCTGGGCTGCTCCGGCTCTTCTGGCCTGTGAAGGGCAGGCCTTCTCTGGGCCTGGGCTTCCTCACAGGGGGTTAGACCTGCACTTCCAAGTGACTTCCCAAAGGTGGCACCTTTTTCTTAAATTTGCCTTTGCTTTATGGGAACCAAATGTTCCATTGCTCCTTCAACAGCAATTCTCTATATTACAAACAAAAACGGTCATTTTAGCTCCTATTTTAAGGCTCATTTTGTGTTACCCAGATGTAACAAGCAATCAGCACACGTACGAGCCAGAAACACTCTTTAACACGACTCTAAATGTCCCACAATTTGATCTTGAGTAAATTTGTAATGGGATATCATACTGGAACAAGGCAACTCACTGAGCATGTGGTCTCTAACCATCCAAAAAAAAAAAAATTTTTTTTTTGAAAACTAAACACACAAAGCCCTGTCGGTTCTATGCAGGCAGCCTCTTCTGGTTGGCTCCCAAATGGGCTTCAGCTGTGCTCTGCCACCCTTCCAACTTCCGCTGATTGCTGTGAAATCCCTCCCTCTAGTTCTCAGCTTCTCTGGTCATGTCTCTTGGGAAGAGGGATCTATCAGAGTGGATCTCTGCTCAGTCCTTGCATTTTTCTAAGAGAGTCAGAAGCTGTGATGGGGTCTTTCCTATGCCCTGCATGTGTGACTGCCACAACATTCACATGTCACCAGTGGATGGTGCAAGAGCCGGAGGCCCACAACCTGCTGCAGCCATCTGTCAAGACTCCTCAGGACTGTTGAGCAAGATCCAGGGTCTATCTGAGTGCAGGGTTAGGTCTCATAGCGGTATGTTCCCAAGTGACCTGCCCTGTGTGAAAGTCTTGGATCCTAAGGTTCCAATGAGATTTTCTGCATAGAGAATGTCCAAACAAGTCTCTGCACTTCACTGATGGACAGAAAGGACAGCCTCTGTGAGGTCAGATGGGGGTGGACTCAGAACAGTATGTTGGGTGTCTCTGGACTCAACGACACTCACTTTTACACTACCCTTTTACTCTATACCTTTGCTCTCATAAGCCCTGGCTTATGAGTCCTTCCAGAAGACGGACAGACTTGGAGAGGTGGGGACCTGTGGCATAGCCCCCTCGTCCACTCAGCACACAGGCCCATCCCTGGACCTTTAGATCAGAGGTGGACGATTGGAGGGGCCTGAGAGGGATGCAGATACATTTTGTTGGTTCCTTGAGCATCTAAAAATATTTCAAGTTATTAACTGGCAGATGGAGCACAGAGTGCAGATTTTTATTTATGTTTAATAATATAAGCATCTGGCAAGATTTCATATGGTGCAAAAAAAAGTCAATTAAAGTTTATAATTGGAGGTCCTTGGCCTCTAAGAAGAGAGCCAGTGCTGCCCAGTCCCCACCCCTTCCTACTGCGACCTTGCAGGAGATGCTGGGTTCTCCCGTAAACTTCCAAGTGCCTGAGTTTCCATCCCCTTTCCCAGACCCACACCCCAGGATTTGTCGCTGCGAGGCAGGAGTCCTTCTGCCCCTGCAACACTCTCCACAGGGATGGGCAGGTCCAGCCACCCTGGAGGGACAGAGCTGCCCAGGCACACGCCAAGAGAAACCCTGTCAACTGGTCTCCAGTCACTGCCTCCTGGACGCCTTCCCTGTCTCTCTGGGTCTGTCTGGCTCCCACAGCGCCCTTGCCTTTGTTCCTCCAAACCCACTTCCCCCTGGTGTCACTGCTTTCAGACATTGCCTCGACTCCTCCTTGACTGCCCTCCCCTGAAACTCTGAATCCTCTCAGATGGACCGCACCCGCCCTCACAGCCTTCTGCCCGCATCTTGGGATGGAAATTCAACTGGAGATTTCTGGCCAGTACTCCAACAGATGGAAAATGCCAGTTTCCTTCGGATGATTTTAAAGCTGCAAAGGGGGCGGGGGGGGGGGGGGGGGGGCGGGGGAGAGGAGAGAGACTGTAAGAATTGTCTCCAAAAATCCCAGTGCTGCCTCAGTGCCAGGCAGTGCTCCATGAACATTATCCATGGGCAAGACTTAATGACAGCCTTCTCTGCCATGTTAGGACCTGGTGGTTCTTCATCCTGGCTATGCAGAGGAAGTTCTGACAGCACCAGAAATCAGCCAGTCCACACACGGTGTCTGGTGTCAGTAGTTCTGGGTGCAGTCCAGTTCCAGCAGAGAGAGTTTACTGCACAGCTGTGTGCTAATTTTCCTCAGTGAGTGGCTAAGTGTGGGTCATAGGTCTGGATACTTGCTAAGTTTGGAAGGTACAGAAGAGTCAGGCTTCCTAACGCGCTTAGTTCTCTGACTGGCCACCCTTGTTTACTGAGAGCCCTGCAAAACCAAGATGCCCATTACACCCAGCTGGAAGGGAGATGAGAATAAGCAAGATTTGTTTTTCTTTCCTTCCACTTCCCCTGAAGGCCTGGCCTGAGGCCCAGGATGGGAGGAAACACAGGAACCAACGATATCAGCAGAGACGCCCGAAGTGGCCTCCAGGAGCGCTTACCGTAGTCCCTGAACCACTTCTCCCGGATCAGGCTGCCGTTGCTCACGATGCTCACACTGGGCAGGAGGAGCTCCTGCTTGCAGAATTTCACCAGCTGGCCCAGGTACTCGCCCCGGTCCTGAAGAAAGGGCTCTCCACCCGAGAAGTTTATCTTCTCCATCCCTGCCAAAGGCAGAATGTGAGGTGTCCCACTTCACCAAATCCCACTTTAATTTTTGTTTTATGTTGTGTCTTGTGCTGCTGAGCATCTAACCCAGGGCCTCGTGCAGTGTGGGGAGCACCTGAATACTGAGCTACACCCCCAACCCCATCCACTTTTGTTTTAGTGCAAAGGTCATATTTTCTCCATGTTAAAAAAAAAAAAAAAGAAATGAGAATTTCTCATTATCCTCTCGTTTCCTAATTTGTGTTCCTAACACCAACCCCACCTCATCAGAATAACCATGTATTTAATTCAGGGTATAATCAGGGGGAGGAAAATCACTTGAAGATTTTGTTTTTGCTTTGTTTTTCCCTCCTTTAAGCAGATGCCCTTGGATGTTGGGAGTTCTTTACATAGAGGAGCTGACTTGGTTAGAAGCCAACGGGTGCAATGGAGCAACCTGGAGTCTGCAAAGCAGAAACCACCTCCTGAGACATGGGTAGAGCAGGCTGGGAAACAGCTCAATATGCCCCTGACATCCAGGCTCAGAAACTGGTTGTAGTAAGACCTATGAGAGGGCTAGCTGAGGAGGGAAGGTAAAATATTATATTTTAGTAAGATGTCTACTTCCAGGGAGAGCAGAGTCAATGAGATGAATGACAAGAATCCTGCTGAGGAATGACAAGAACTTGAGCTAGGTCACTCTGAGAAGGACAAGGTGATGGGTCTTTACTTGCAAGATCAGCTGCAGATAACCAGCCGACAAGGTGGAGCAAAGCAGGTCAGGGCCTGTCAAGTGCCGGTCATATGATCTCGTCCCCATAAAGCACAGAATCAGCAGCACCAACCAGGGACACCCCCTGTGGGGAGCGTGCTGGCCGTGGCCATTCTGCACCTAGGGTTCTGCTTTGCGAATCCACCTGCTGTGCACTTAGGCTGTGTGTGACTTGGGGCTTGTCTGCAAACATTCCATTAGAATGTTCAAAAGAAGACTTTGCAAAGTAGCCAGCGCAGGGGGCGTTCTAGGAAGGACAGGAGGGAGAAGAGCAGGCTTGGAGTGGGAGACGTGGCGCTCGGACTCCACTGCTGAGGCTGCTCTGAGGTGCTGGAACCATATAAAGGTGTGGATGTCCAGTAAGCAGCGCTCAAGAGCAAGGCCTCCGACATGTGCTGGAAATAATTGTTATAAGTTTCCTATTAAGAGCACATACACGATCCCAGATAGAAGGCTCAGATGTTGCTGTTCTAGCATCCCATATTTCGTGTTTGTTTTCAACTTTCCTCATTAAATGTTTCTGGATAAAAATGAATTCCTTCGTGCCTTGGACAAACTCTGAAAGTAGCATCACCCTCCCGACCTCCGTCTAAATGCTGGGGGAAAGGGGCCTGCCGTTGGCACAGACCTCGGCTGACAGGAGGGGTGGGTGTGCCCACCAACCACCTGGCCAGGCCACCTCGGGGCTCAGGAAGACCAGGCATCTGCCCGCATTCCGGCCCTTGCGCCTGGGACGGCGTGTCTGTGGTGGCTGGGAGCCCTCTCGCCAGGGTGGCTGCCCCCCGGCCGGATTGGCCCCCTGGGGTGGATGGAGCATCTTGACTTCTTTCTGGGCCTGGGACTCACCGGCTTCCTTGAGCAGGAGCAGCCCCCTCTTGGCCTCCTCCAGGGGCAGCACGAAGGACGTCTTGGCCGTGTGGAAGCAGAAGCCACATCTGTAGTTGCACTGGCGCGTGAAGTGGTAGTTGACGCTCGTGGGGGTGATGGGCAGCTCGCCGTCCGCCTCCTCCTCCTGGCTCCCCTCAGCTCTCTCTCCGACCTGCTGCTGTCCCTTCCCTGTACCTGGCCACCAGAAGGCTGCCCTCAGCCAGTACAGCAGTGGGGCCAGGCCCCTCCAGAGCGAGTGGAGCAGGGGCTGCCTGAAGGCGCCGAGCAGGCGCGCAGCCAGAGCGGAGGGCAGCAGCATCCTCATGGTGGCCACGGAGTGTGGGAGGCCACGGCTCAGTTATATGAAGGTGGAAAGGGCCCGCCTCTGAGCATCCTGTCACAGCAGAGGGACACGCCCCCTCTGACTAACTCCCAGCTGAGTTTCGATTTTCCTCTTCATGAAAAGGAAAGTTGGAACCGGGCCAAGACCCAGGCTCCGGTCAGCAGGCTGCCTTCCTACCTCGCCCTGTGCTCAGCACCTGAGCAGGTGCTTCAGAGACGTGGTGCCCATCAGTCGTGTCTCTATGCCCCCAAGACACACAGCTACCTCTGTATGCTGGGCTGCTCCCACTCAGGCCGAGCAGCCTTAACCTAAAGGGAGGGGACTGGAAATGCTCCGGATTGGGGACTTGTTTGAATTGGGGAGTATTTGCATATACCCAGTGAGATATTTTGAGGATGGGACCCAAGTCTCCTTATGAAATTCATCCATGTTTCTATGCACCTTGCACACATCCCCAGAGGGGGGCTTACACAACATTTAAATAGCTTTGTGCTAGAAATACATCTTCAGGAGGCAAACTCTCCACCGTGGTGTCTTGTCAGTGCGGGGTTTCCAGTTAAGTGCATTTTGGATTTGGATTTTCAGATGCTTAGACAGTATAACTGTGTGACGATGACAGCCTTCAGAGGTAGGTGCTCAGGGTGAGTATGTCATGATAGTCAAAGAGAACTACCTTAAGACCCCCTGCTGGGCATTTCTCCAAAGGAACGGAAATTAGGGCATGGAAGAGACATCTTCACATCCATGCTCACTGTAGCATTGTCTGTGACAGCCAAGATCTGGAGGCAAATGAAGGGTCCATCTGCAGATGGATGGGTGGGGACACGGAGTACCCCCACACAATGGAATCCTACGACTCTGCCTTCAAAAAGAAGAAAAACCTGTCAAGTCTAACTGCATGGATGAACCTGGAGGACATGGCGTTAAGTGAAATAAGCCAGCAAAGACAGACACATGCTGCATGAGCTCTCTGATGTGGGGAATGTAAGTGTTTACACTCCCAGAAGCAGACAGTAGAAGGGTGGTTCCCAGGGACAGAGGAGTAGAGGCAATGAGAAGATGAATGTCAGAGTTAGAGAGGAGGAGGGAGTTCCAGAGATCCAGTGCACAACACGAGGACCCAGCTCATGGCCATGTGTCATGACTGTTGAAAGCACATAATGGAAAGACCACTTGATCAGGGGAGGATGGCTCTGCAGGGACTTCAGTCACCCAACCTGCTTGTTGAGACAGGGTTAACATGTAGACATGTGTTCCTGAACTTTTAAACTATTTCTAATAGACATTCCCAGCTAGGAAAATAGGATGTTTTTCTAACCTGCTTCCTAATTGGGGAAAATCACTGTGGCTTGTAATTTCTTTGTTTTTATAGTTTTCTCAGGAAGAATTGTGATCACCCTTCTTCTTTATGGTCAGGGTGGTATTGATCATGTGTCTTCAAGTGTTCCTCAGCTGAGCAAAGTTGGAACAGGCCAGTGGCTGGGCTTCAGGAGCCAGCTGTGTGACACCGTCATCTGCTCGACCACACAATCACTCACACTGCACACACGTCACCTCTCTGCCTAGGTGTAGATGCTACTTAATGCTCCTCCGTTGGAATACCCCTGAGAACTGGATGTGCTCTGTTAGGGTTAGCTATTGTTTGTCTGAATGGAAATAGAAACAGCTCATTTTCCTGAACAGAGAAACTGAAAGCAAATTCTGCAAAACAAGAAGCACGTGTTTAACGATTGCCAATTATGCAACCATGGATGTGGTCCAAGACTTTGAAATCGGGGCAAAAGCTATTTTAAACTTTTACACCATGGTCTGGCTCAATTGAGAAAGGCATTTTGCTAGATTACATATGTACGGATAAATGAAAATCAGATCAATTATAGTTATAGTACAAAGGATGAAACACAAGCTTTTTGAAACAAAACCTGTTAAAGAACTGAATCCTACCTCAGCCAATATCACAAAATTTTGAGTAGATTTCTTAACTTGCCTGATCTTGTTGGTCATCTGGGAGAAAAGAATGTCTAACTCACACAGGCATTTTAAAGATTAAGTGACATAATGTCGACATAGCCCAGGTGATTACTCATCTACTGTGATAAGGATTTGGAATGCCATTCCTGCACCTGTCTTGTGGTGCACATACGCAGGCCCCTATGCTGGGCCTGACCGACCACTCAATGGAATCCAGGAGTGGAATCCGTTGCTAAGACACATGAGTGTTCCCTGGAAGTGCAGACCTCCAGTTTTCCAAAGGGATCAGCTATCAGAACCGTTCAAGGGTTCTGTTGCTCCACATCTTGCTGACTGTTATCATTGCTAAATTGTTTTGTTTTGTTTAATTTTAGTCATGGAGATGTTGTGATGACTCAAGGGAGTTTTAGTTTCCAGTTTCCTGATGACTGATGTTGTTAAGCATCCTTTTATGTGTTAAGCCAGTTGGATGCTCTCTTTTTTGTGATGCGCCTGTTCAAATTCCTTACCCCCTAAATGAATGGGGTGCACATCATCAATCCTGATATTTGTATAAGATGATCCTGAAAAGTTGGTATGGCAAGGTTTGTTGCTTATCCTCTGCACCCAGAATCTCCAATCATTAACAGAAAGACCCTCTAGAGGGTCCTATTTCCAGGGTGTGGGCAGGGATGGCTCACAGCTCTGGGCTTCCATAGAAGTAATCAACAAATGAGTATCTGGTTCTGTGTGGTTCACTTTCTTCACAGGTAGTTACATGAACTTCATTTCTTATAGAAAACCCAACTCCACAACACAGTATAAGGATATCCTTCAAGTTGGAAATCCACAGATGCATAAGGAAAAAAAAAAAAAAAAAAACAGATGCTCTGAGCAGCAGAGGCTTCATCTGCTCCTGGCTGGGAAATGACTTAAATTCTCAGTGCTTTCTACCATTAGCTTCCTGCAGGGGACTCAAGCTGAGGAATCATCACTCCTTCCTGGATCTGCTTTGTGAATTCTCATTTTCTGAGCTCCACATTTTATTTTGTGATATGCAAATTTGTTGATGTAGAGTTGTCTGAAGTGGGGTTTCTCTCTTCAGAATCCCTTTCCATTTGTGGTTCCCAACACTAACCCTAACCCTAACCCCTAACCCTAACTCGAACACCTAACCCTAACCCTAACCCCTAACCCTAACCCTAATCCTAACCCCTAATCCTAACCCTAACCCCTAACCCTAACCCTAACCCCTAATCCTAACTCTAACCCCTAACCCTAACCCTAACCCTAACCCTAACCCCTAATCCTAACCCTAACCTAAACCCTAAACCCTAACACTAACCTCTAACACTAACCCTAACCCCTAACCCTGACCCTAACCCCTAACCCTAACCCTAACCCCTAACCCTAAACCCTAAGCCCTAACCCTAACCCTAACCCTCCACTGTATCCTTATCACTCTGATTTTCATTTCCTTTTCCCCACTTGAGAAAACTACCCAAAGCACACCTATTTAAGCAGCGTTTCAAAAATCTAGGCTTCTTTTTGGGGTTTTATTATTTATTAGTTGCTGCATTTATGTATGTTACAACTCTCTGCGCTTGTTTCCCCCATGAGCAGAATGGTTAGAGTAGTTTTCCTTTTCCTTTTGTAATTCTGTAAATGTTGAAGCCTATAGTTTTTCCTAGGAATACAGCTGTTCTATTCATTCCTTCAAAGCCACCTCTTTGAAGAGCCTTCCCAGCCTCCAGATCCGCTTCGATAGCTTTCTAACTGGCAAGTTTATTCAATCTAAACATTCAGCTGGCACTATCAGAGACTCTGTCCTAGGACTTTAAAATTGGTGCTCAAAAATATGAACAGTATTTCTTTTTGAGTAAAGGTATTGTGTCTTCAATCTCTAACACATATTTAATATGCACGGATCTCATCTACTTTAGTGTCATTGAAGTACTACATCTCCTCATAGGACAGAAACAGGTGCAAATGAATATAAAAACTTACAGTAGGATGGTTCATTTAGCAAACTATGTGCCGGGTTGTATTTCTGTTGGATCCTCAGAGACGAGCTAACCATCTTTGTGCTTATCCCAAGGTGCTCAGGGAGTAAACAAGACTGGCAAGTGAGCTGTGACCTTGCGAGGTCCTCAGATACACGCCGAGGTGAGGAGAGGCTACCGACCCAGCATTTGGAGAAGTTAGGAGGTGTACTATGCTCCTGCCTAATTCCTCGGAATGTGGCTGCATGTAGAGACAGGGCTTTAATGAGGGGGTTAAGTTAGAGATGAGAACATTATGGTGGCCCTAAACAACCGAGTTCTCATCAGGATAGGAAATCAGAGGGCCATCTGCAGGCTCAGAGAGGCCCTGGGGAAACAACCCTGCTGGCACCTTGGTCTGACTTCTGACGGCCTGAGCTTTGAGGAAAGAAACTTTCTCTTGGTCTAGGAGCCCCATCTGGGTCTCCGTATGGCAGCCGCAGTATACCAATGTGCTAAGAGGGGCCTGGCTGGGAATGGCCCAGCCAGCCTGTGGGAAGACCTTGCAACTAGGCTTGCAGGAAGACCCTGGTTTCAGGCCTTATCACAGATGAAAACGTCACTGCACACTGTGTGCAAAAAACATCTTGCTCAGAAGCAAGAACAACACTTCTCAGAGAGCTTCCTCCACCCTCCACTCCTCATTGTTCTTAGCCTACTCACTCACACATCAACCACACTACTACAAGATCTTAGATTGGGTCAAAAGAAACATTTTTTCAGCATAAAACACATCCCAGGTGTTGATCCAATTTGATAGAGACATGAATTCAGAAAATTCAGAATCTCAGCTAAGAAATTAGGGAATTTGATTGCTTTTAGTTCATCTAATATTTTCTCTTTGTCTCAATTCTAAATTTTTGAGATTTTCCTTTGAGAAATTAAAGATTTTTTCATCTATTTCTTCTTCTTCATCTTCTTTTTTTAAATCTGTGCATTTTGATGTAGGCTTCACTTACCTTAATGCAGGAAACTTTAATTTGGTGTACC